TTTTACCATTTGGTATGTGAACTTGAGAAAACATGTTATTGAAAATTCAGTGTTCAAGTCCTATTTGCATGTGCTGCAATTTATAATTTGACTGGAAATAGTTGATCACCCTAAGCAGCAGGATGACAAATGTTCTAGGTTCCTTTACGCTCATGGAATGGAATGCCAAGAGCAACACTTTTTATCTTTTCTCCTGCTTATTTATGAGTCTTAAAACATCTCAGGGACAAAATCCCAGCCATAAACCCATTCTACAAAGTTGAAGCCTGACCTCCTCAATTCCTATCAGTGCCTTTTCCCTGAAGTTAATGCTTCCTCCAACATTTCTCATATGAATTCAATGACCATAACCCTCTGAAACTACTGTAATGAGAGTAGAGAACTTCAACTTCTCAACAGAATGAGGTAATAGAGCACAGAGAACTATATTTTTCCTCTAACCTAAAATGATAATGAAGAACTAAAAATACAAAATAAGAGTTTTCAGACATTGGACCTCAAGCAGCATAAGACAAAAAAACAAATAAGCCCACCAAAAGATTCATCCAAAAAGGAGTTGATAAGACAATTCCCAGAGCAAATAGGGCCATGAATAGTTTACTTTCCCACAAGGAAGAGTAGGTACAAATCTTGTAAATCACAAGGAATCAAATAGTACTACTAAGACAGGTATTGGCTTAGTAGTAGGAAAAATTATGCCTACATTAAAAACTGCTCTGGTTGGCCTTGAAAAGCTTAAAAGCAAACCTCAAAAATATCTAACAATTTCAAATAAGTTAGTTGCATTGCATAACAACACATATTACTATACAAAAGTATCCAGCATCCAATAATGTAAAATTTACAATATCTGGCATTTAAAGTTTACAAGGCAAAAAAAAATAGAAAGGAAAATTTAACCTATAATCAAATAATCAGAACTGACACAGATGTCAAAATTAGTAGACAAGAGCATTAAAATAGGGTTATGACTATATTCATATTTTGAAAACGTTAGAGAAAAGTGTAAACATTTGAAGAACACACACAAAAATAGACCAAAATTAAACTTCTAGTGATAAAAAAATAATGATGTCTGAATTTTTTAAGGAATGCAGTCAATGGTATTAACAACAGATTAGATTTACAGAAAAAAATTAGTGAATTTGAAGGCATATCAAAGTCAAAACTATGTGAAAGAAAAGAAAAAGAGAGGGGAGAGGGAGAGAGAGAGCTAAAAATAAAAAAAGCATCAATAAGTGGTGGGTCAATTTTGAGGAACTAAATATACACATAACTGGAACCACTGAAGAAAATGATAGCTAAAAAGGTAGAATATTTGAAAAAATAATGACAAAGTCTTTTCACTAGGTTTTGAGATTTTTATCACTTTTTAAAATAATTTTGATTATGTCAAAATTCATACAAATTATCAGTCAGATTCTGAGGGCAAATGGAGCAAAAAAAGTCAAACTCTCCAAGATCAAGTAGGGCATGTAAAGACCTGGAATGGCTCACTCCCTGTCAAGTAGGAATTGCTTCTGCTACTTGAGCGCTTGCATTAGGAATTTCCAGCATGATCCTAGCATCCTTGGTGAGTCAGGTTGGGATAAAACACTATTGTCAAGCAGGTTTACTTCCAGTGCTATATACTCCACACAAATTCTGAATAGGCTAAAGTCTCAAAGGACATTAAGAATACTTGAGTCTTCTTTTTTTTTTTTAATTCTTCAGAGTAACCAAGGTTTGCACACTCTTTAGAGCAGCACATTGAGTACATTAAACATAATGCTCTTCTAAAGACACAGAGGTATAAAATTATCAGAATTACAACCAAGAAGAAAATTCACCAACAAATTTTAAAACATTTGACTGTGAAAAATACAAAACTCACATCATTTGGAAGAGGGAAAAAATGAAACGATTTGCTCTCAAGCCAGGAATGAGGTGAGGAGGTCCACTCTCATCACTCTTACTCAATGTAGTTATTAAAATTTTAACTAGAGCATTTAAATACAGTGATTGGCAATAGAAAAAAATAAAAGGGATACAAATAGGGGAAAGGGGGCCAGGGATTTAGCTCAGTGGTTCTGCCGCCTGCCTCACAAGCGCAAGGACCCAAGTTTGATCCCTGGTACCAAAAAAAAAAAAAAAAAAAATAGGGGAAAGGTCAAAGTTTTTGCAGATGATATAATTCTGTATTTAGAAAAACCTAAATATGCTATAAAACACTTTTAGAACAAATAAACAAATTCAACAATGTAGAATATAAAAAAACCGATAGCTTTACTATACACTAATAATGGACTTGGAAAGAAATCAGAAAAACAATTCCATTCACAGTAGATTCAAATAAAATAAAATAACTAGAAACCAAACTAACCTATGAAGTGAAAGACCTCTATAATGATAATTTTTAGAACAGTGAAGAAAAAAAATTGAAGAAAAAACCAGAAGATGAAAAGACTTCCCATGTTCATGGATTGGGAGAATTAATATTGTCAAAATGACCATATTACCAAAAGTGATACTAAAAACTCAACACAATTTCTACACTTGACCTTAGCCAAAAGGCCAAGAAGCGATCAACACAATTTCTATCAAAGTGCCAATGACATTCTTCACAGAATTAGAAAAAAATACATCCTAAATTTCACATGAAAACACAAAGGACCCACAATAACCAAAGCAATCCTGAGCAAAATGAGCAAAGCTAGAGCCATCACCACACCAGACTTCAAATGCATAGTACCCAAAGACAGTATGGTATTGACACAAAAATAGGACACAGACTGATTAGAGGACCCAGAAACAAACTCATGCAACTAGATTCATCTTATTCTGAACAAAAAGGAGCCAAAAATAAACAGTGGAGAAAAGATAGCTTCTTTGATAAAGGTGTTTGGAGAACTAAATACCACATGTGCCAAATTTAAACTAAATTGCTAACTCTCACACTGTACAAAACCAATTCACCATGCTGCAAAGATCTGAAACTTCAAAAATGTTAAAAGAACACATAGGGGGAACACTTGACCCATAAGCAAAGACTTTCTGAATAAGAATCCAATAGCACAGAAAATAATAGCAAGAACCAATAAATAGAATTACATCAAATTTTAGAAGTTTCTGTACAAGGAAAAACACTAACAAAGTGAAAAGATGGCCCACAGAATGGGAGAATATCTTTACCAATTCCTCCCCTGACTTATTTAAATTTAATACCAAACGATCAAATAGCCCAATCAATAAATGAGTAAATAAATTAAGCATGCACTTCTCAAAAGAAGTACAAATGCCCAATAAATATATGAAAAAATATTCAATATTTTTAGCCATTGTGGAAATGCAAATCAAAACTATATTCAGATTCTATCTCACCCTAGTCAAAATGGCTAAGGAAAAATAATTTGTAAAGAACAATAAATGCTGGCAAGGATACAGGCAAAAGGAACCCTTCTACACTGCTACTGGAAATGTATATTAGTAGAGCTGCTGTGAAAATCAATATGGAGTTTCCCCCCCAAAATAAAAATATAGCTACCCATTCACCCAGCTATATTACTCTTTGGTATATACTGAAAGCAACTAAAGTCAGCATACTCTAGGGATATCTGCATACTCGTATTTATTGTGGCATGGTTCACAATAGCCAACAAGCAGAACAGCCTAGATCCTCATCAACAGAAGAAGAGAGAAAGAAAATGTGATAGGGTTAACAGTCAGCCACAAGGAAAAATGAAATTCTGTCATTTGTACAAATATGGATGGATCTTGAGGCCATAATGTTGAGAAAAATAATCCAGATTCAGGAGGACAAATACATATTCTCCCTAATATGTGGAATCTCAAAAAGATCACATGAAAGTAGAAGGGAGACAATGATTAGACAAGAGGAAGAATATTAAGGTGTGGATACAAAGGCAGGTAATAAGGAGGATGGATATGAGCAACATATATTAGGCACATTGAACCCCTTCCACCAAAACTGAGAAAACAGTGGGAGGGTGGTATAAGGAAGTGATAGGAAATGCATACAATCACAATATATGACGTGCATGTACAAACCTGCCAGAATGAAATACTTTAATCTGTATAACCAGTAAGAAGAAGGAAAGTCTTAGTATATGGCTCAGCATGGGAAAAATATGCCTGAACGCTAATAACAGTATTAAACAACTGACTACAGTTAAGGTGCATTTCAACTGGAGAGTTGTCTCTTAAGCATCTCATATGTGTTCCAACCTTAGTACCTCGTGTGTCCCTTTGCCTGGTCCATTTGTTCCCTCTCTATGCCTATTCATTGCTCGTATTAGTAGCTGTTATGGGTTTAGATCTAAACTGTCTCTCCAAAGACTTACGTGTTTGGAGGTGGTTGATTTGGTGGTGAATGGATCATGGGGCACTATATTCATCGGTGGATTAGTCTACCTATGAGTTCATGGTGGATTTGCTGTTTTAAAGTGGGCTATGTTTAGGGGCTGGCACTGAGGTGTGATCTGGAAGCATTTATCACTCTCCTAAGCTCCTCTCTTCTCTCTCTGTTTCCTGGCCACCATGGGTTGAGCACTCTTTCCTCTGCCATGCCCCACTACTGTCCTGTTTCTGCCTTGGAGCCAATTAGCCACAGACTGAAATCGCAAGCCAAAATAACCTCTTCTGCTTTGTTGGGTATTTTGTCAAAGCTACAGGAAATTAACTAAGATAGTACCTGACATAACATCATATTTCCAGTTATCCATTTGTTACTCTAGAGCAGAGATTGGCACACTAGGGCCTGTCACCAAATCCAGAGTAAGTGACAGAGATCTATGTAGATTTCATCACTAACCACAAAACTCTCTAAGCTCTGCATAAGCAAGCAGTGTCAGTATGTTCTTGTAATGCTACAAAACTAGAAAAACGTATAGTAAAATATCACAACTTCAACACTAAATTTATGAATAGCTGTAGAATGGAAGCTATCATCTGGGAGTAATTTTTAAAGAAAATTTTACTGCAACTCAAAAGAATAAACTTACTCATTAAAAGTCAATTTTGTTGTCCACCCCACCTCTGAGCCATGAGCGAGCGGAAGGT